GGCGACAGACGCCCGGCATCAGCGGCGGTGGGAGCAACGTCCCAATGCCCAGGGTCGTACCTACTGATCCACCCTGTACGTTACCACACCAACCCCCTATATATATACATATATATATACATATATATATATATCTACCTGGACCCGACGAAATTGCGTCATATGGAATCGTAAAATTCATATAGCCCTCTGGAATCCTCGTGAACCTTTCTTTTCTCATGATGTATGAATTCATCTTTTTTTTTTTCTTTACTTTTTTTTTTTCTTTTTTTCTTTCTTTCTTTCTTTCTTTCTTTCTTTCTTTCTTTCCTTCTTTCTTCTTTCCTCGACCATCGCGAAACCCTTTGAATAAAACGGTCTCGCGGGAGAGGCGGCGATATAGTGGCGAACTGTTAAGGATTTTTATGATAGAATTTCCGTTACACCTTTGCGGGTTTCTCGCCCCACGCCTTTTATCGATTGCCGGTTGATACGACACAAGCACGATACGGTTTCGGGATATTGTTAACGTTTCCTTTTAAAATTGTCGAGTTTTGTTCGCGTTGAATAGCTTCTTTCTTTTTTTCATCTTTTCTCTTTAAATATGCGACTGATCATTGTTAGCATTATTTTGAACAGTAAGAAGTTTGAATCAAAGAATTTTTATAGCGATGTAATGAGATGGATGTTTCAATAATCGGTTAAAACTGAAGGCATATTGAATGTTTATTTCACACGTGAGTATCAATTTAATACTAATTTTGTTAATGGGAATGAACGTTGATCGAAATATGCATCCACGTGGTATCGTGATTAACGATATTTTCAATTTTTTTTTAGATCATGCCGTCTCACAACCGATTTCCATGGGTACAGGTAGACGTGTGGGTGTCGGTACTGGATACCATCATCAAACATCAGAAGTTGGAACAGTTCTTAGCCCTAGAAGCAGGTTGGTATATCATTTAATCATACGAATATCAGATATCGTTACGTGTTTTATTAATATAATTGAATATTAAAAAATGATTTGTTTTTACAGTGAAACGGGTGGTCTGGGGGTTAAAATGGTCGAATATGTTCTTGGATCAAGTCCTACGACACCCAAAGATTTGGAGCCCAGAATGGTTTCCCTGAGATTGGTAATTATATATACGAAATAAAATATGAGCAAAAAGGGAAACAATTTTATGGAAATATATTTTTGTTTTCATTGATGCAGAATACTGATGCAGACAAGAAAGAAAAAGAGAAGGGCTCGGCAAGCCCATTTGACAGTTCTAAAGACGATACAGGCCCACAAAATAACGGATTAGCATCCCAGAATGGTCTTGATGACGATAAAGGATTTAAGTAAGTATAGCATAGTATCGAAATAATTTCTCAGCGAAAGAGAATTATATTATAAAAAATATTTTAAAAAGGAGCAAAAATATCTGTATTATGAAAATACAAGTGTACACATGGTTATTATTGGTCGTTATAACGTGACCTACGACAAATTTAGCTTTTGCGTAAATGACTTCATAAGAAAAAGTGCGTAGCTATTCTTGCTCTAGCTATATATAATTGTTTTCAATTGAACGACTGTGAATGTGTCACATGTTGTTCATGAACAATTACTATTGCTATGAGGAACACAATTGAGAAATGTAATAGGACTAACTGTCAAGGGCGTGTATGTTCTACTCGTCGAACGACGACATCATAAGTTTGTGTCTTTAGACTTTCTTGCACCATCATTGTACGCCATCTGGTGTGTCGTTTGATCTTCATCTGTTCGATATTACCGACATTCTTTATTCCGCGGTTTATTCTATATTACTGCAGTTTATTTTTTCCTGTTAAATAACGAAAACATTTATGATTTGTTGTTTATTGAAAAATCTTTATATTTTTAAATATCGATTAAAATTGTAAATTGATGTTTATTGCATGTATAGAAAACAGGAAATTTTTAATATAACGTAAACAATGTTTTGTTTTTTGTTATCATTTTTTGAATTTTATCAAAACTTTTTTTATTAAAATTCGAACACTGAGATCGACTGGATTTACAATAAATAAAACAGAATAAAGTATAGAATAAATAAAGTAGGAAAAATACATTGAAATTTATATAATAATCTTATCGTTTTTACTTAAGAATTCCGCCATAATAATGATGATGTTTCATTATTATTGTTAGCCATTTCTTTTTCATAAGATTTCTAAATATTGAATTCGTGAACATTGAATTATATTACGCCTGTCATTGCGAAATATACCGTTATTTTGCGTTGCTAATCGTACATTCGTAGAATCTTGCACGACAAGTTTGGAAAGATTTTTTAAATATTATGCAGAATATATCGATTTGTTTTATGGCAACTTTCATAACTGATATTTATAATAACTGTCAAATGAATTATTTCTCATATTTTTATAATTTTATTAATGATTTTTAATTTGTGTTAGGAAATTAAAGTAAATTGGTTTCGGAAGGAGCTAATTGCAACTTTCTAATTATTATTTTTCTCTTTATCACTCGTTTATTTTGATTGTATTGTAATTATATAATTATACATTTAAGTATTTTATAATTATAAAATACTTATACGTACGTATAAGTGTAAACACTTGAGTAACGTTGCAAAAAGATAGCTATCAGGATGTGTAAAATAGAATTCTTTTACTCTAAGATTTCTATGTTCACGTCACATGGAATCAGATCCATGACATTTACGATTGTCGTTTTATAATGGCTAAGGAAAGCTACGTCACTTTCTTTATATAAAAAATAAGAACAACAATCTTACTGAGATACGAAAAAAGTCAACTTTTATATATATATATAAATATCTTATTTTACTATTTCAAAGACTGCATAATCTCTTTGTCTTTGCTTCCTCTTTACTCTCGTATCAAAAAAATCGTTACTTGTAAATTATAATTGATATTGTTGTAATAATTCCATTGTCCGTCATTTATACACATTATAACGATCATTAACATTGTTTCCGAATATTATCCAATAATGAATTACTTTTTCTCTTTTTAAAGAAAAAGATCGCTCAACGTTGTTCTTTATTTTTCATTTATTCAGTCGTACACCTGGGAGTCGCCAACCTTCTCCAGGCGAGGAGGAATTTCAGAAGAACGCTGCTGCTACTCTGGCTGTAAGCGCTGGTGGTGGCGGGGTCGTATTATTGAAACCTGGTGTCGATGTGGTTGGAAGCGAGGAACATTTCATGGCGGCCTTTGCCCCAGCTCCACCGCATCATCTTCAACATCATCAAGCACCACCGACACATCATCTCCAACATCCACACTCGCACGCGGCACAACTCTTTGGTGCACAGGCTCCGCCACCCCCACAGGGCCCTCCACCTTCGCAGCAACAACAACAGCAACAGGGACCTCCGCAGCCACAAGACACCACTACTCACTTTGATGTTCAGGTAAGTCTCGACCTTATTGTTCCCCT